AATATTATTACATATTATTTACTTATATTTTAGGTGTGAATGGAGTTAAATACTTTGAAGACCTGAGAGATCTTCAATGCAAACTTTTTAAAGGAGTCCTGAAAGAAACTGAGAGAGCCAAGCACATAACTAAAGAAGAAAAAAAGAAGTCTGTGGAACCATCATTTAAGAGAAGAGAAACAAAAAGCAGATGTATGGAATTTGCAGCCCCATTAATAAGCAGGAATGATGTTTATTACTCAACCTACAAACATCATTGACATTTCCAGATATTTGTATGATTGTATTTACTGTAGGTAAATATTTGACCAACTTATCTGTGCTAATAGAACAATAAAATATTAATGCATGTCCTTGGGCTCAAAATATTTAGTGGTTTAGCTGAATTTAAAACAATTAAAAGTTGGCTATTAAGAATAAATCAGAACAAACAGTTATGTACACATACAGATTAAAAAAAAACAATTTTATTAACACACTAATAAAACTTGTCAAATATACTAAAATAACAGTATGTTTGAATATGCCTGCCATGATTCACAAAAATTATAAGAGATACTGGTAAAAATACAAGGAAAACTAATTTTATTGTAAGACTCTGGTTAGTATAGTTAACTTTGTAATAATGAATCTCTTAAAATCAACATTCATTAATACTGGTTTTCATGCAGTCTCTGGGTCCAGCTTTTGCTTTTGGCTACGCTTGTCATTTCAGTTTAGAGAGCAATGCTTACAGTCATGTGATTAGTTCTCTGTCAAGTTGTCAGGGTCTCAAAGAGCATTGCAAACTGTGCAGCAACGTTTTAACTTGTGCCGTTGTGAGGGCTGATTAGTATTGACATCATCAAGTGGTGTGTCCGTCCCCCATGTGGTACAATCCTCATGGGTGGATCACACTGGTCCTCTCAGTGGATTTATGACAGGCCTGGTCTAACTCAGGCATGTCTCCCTCCTGGAGCTACATAGTGAAAGGTGATGATTAAGATGCTTTATTATTGGAGGAGTCAGAATAGGCTCAATTTATGCTGGCTTGGTTTAACATATAGCCATCTTATCATGTACTGTATATCAAGAGTTCCATCTCAGCAACATTTCTATAAAGCTGTCACAAAGGAGTTAATTATGCACTTGATGTCTTCAATATTAGCCAACTGTATCTCTCTGTTCTCTTTGTGTGGCTATTCCCTTTTTTACGGTATGTAGTATGGTGAATGGAAATGAAGTATTTAACTTGAGTTACTTATGTAAACCATTTACATGTGATGTGAAGAAGGTAATAATTTTAGCACTTGAATGAATAAGCCCCATAGAGCTTTTAATTTCTAGATCTTTCAAAATCTATATGTCTATCATAAAATATATTCATTTCAAAGAATGACTCACCCTGAACACCGTGCCGTGCCAATGTGAAGTGAAACACTCTGCAGGTCTTGGCCTTTTCATTATATAATTAAGCTAAATTACATCTCAAATGCATTAAGAACATTCCTGTCCTTATGTCAATGTTCTTTAATGGAAATAGCCTGTTGTGAAATCTAATAAGTGACAAAAATAGCTTTACTATTAACTGACTAGTTAATGGTAGATCTCTGACGTCTGCTATTTCAATCAGTTCTGAAAGTTTTAGAAAGTTTTAAGACTATTAATTACAATGCATTTCTTTACTGCTCCTGTTTTGTATCATATCCCAATGGTTGCCACATCACACACTGCTGTCAAAGGCCTGCTTGGTGAGATGCAAAGCCCTTCTATCATCATGCCATAGTGAGTTTTAATATCTGTGTCTGGCGGGAGTTGTGGCAAATGTAATCAGAACGTAACGCCTAGACTCAAAAAGTCTAGTTGGACATAGGATATACTGTAAATTACACAGACTCAAGATAGTAATCAAATACCAATTAATATAAATTCCTATTTAAAGATTTGTTAATACTTCATATTATAATGTTAGATATGCTCTAGTGTTCTAAAATAAATTAAGATTAATGAAGATCTCATAAATTATAGCAAGGATGTGCCTTGATGGCACTATGACAGACCTCCAATTTCATGACGTAACTTCCATCTGAAACAGAATTTCCTAACCAATGCAGCATTATGACAACAGTGAACAGGCAGTACAATACAGAACGTGTGAAATAATATGTAAGTGTATAGAATTATTCATATTCATTCAATAGTGTCTTAATAATAAATGTAAGTCTTGCATCTTAAGGAACTTTTTTATTGACAGAGCAATTTGCATACACATGCTTGTTGAGGCGTTCTTGTAATCATTGCAAATACAATACCTCTCTGATTCACAAAATATATTATGGGTGACAGCATTTTTTTCTTGTCCACTGTTATCAGAGGGTATTCTGATATTTCAAGGTACTTATATAAAGATACATTTTATAGTTGCAAACCCATTGTTATGCTTTGAATTAAGTATTTGGAATATTATAGTAATAATCCTTCTCCTGCCTTTAGCTCAAATGAACCATGTGGAACAGTTTAAACATCAGGGAGTGCAGTCTAGTTGTACTGATGGTTGAAAAGCAGTCCAATGGCAGTGACTGATGTTTATCGGCTACAGATCAGAAGAAAAGGTCAAATATAATATTGATTGTAGAGTGTGCTAGGAGCTCTCCTTCAGTAGTTAGCAAAGCTGTGTGGTACAGTAGCTGTTCTAAGCAATATGAGAAGCATAGTGAATCAACATGCAAGTGCACAGAGTAATTTCACTAAAATGCAGAACCTGACTTTGTATGCATCAGTGAAACAATGCATAAGCTTTTATGACTCAATCTTAATAACAGAATCATACAATAATGGGGTAAAATATAATTATCAAAAATAAGTACTGTATTGCAGGTACCCCCATGCTGACCTAGTAGTGGGTAATGTATGGAAGGACTTCATACAGTCCTTGCGAAAAATTCCCATCTTAAACTGTAAGACATTTAGTTATTTTGTGAAACATTGCAAGTATTGGAGAGCTGTCCACATTACACATTCAAGACCAAAATCCTACTGAGCATCTTCCCTTCTCTTATTATTGTCTGAGTTTCTGTTTTCTGTCTCTTTAAGGACAGTTGTAATTACAAGAATAAAATGTGCTGTTTGCTTGTTGTATTAACCATGTCTTGCTGAGACTGTGAAAGTCTGTGCAAACTGTTACATTGCATATAGTACATCCAGAAAGTATTCACCCTCCTAGAAATAGAAAATAATTGTGTTTCTATTGAAATACATTTTGTTCCCTTTATTCATGCAGCACACAATTTAATGAGGCCAAAACATTTTTGTTTTGTAACACAAAAGCTATGATAAATGACAAATAGAAATATCTTGGTCAGTTCACTCATTAAGTAAGTACTCTGTAGAAGCACCTTTTGCAACAGTTGCAGCTGTGAGTCTTCTTGGGTAGGTACAGTATATCAACATTGTACAGCACATCAGGATTAGGTGATTTTCACTCTATCTTCCTTGAAGGTTTGCTTAAGCTCTGTCAGGTTGCATGGGGAATGTCAATAAACCACAGTCTTCCACAAACTCAATGGAATTCAAGTCTGGGCTTTGGCTGGGCATTTCAAACACATTCACCGTCTTGTTCTCAGGCCACTCCAGTGTCACTTCTGTTGTTTGCTTGGGGTTGTAGTCATTCAATAATGGTTTTGTATTCGGGGGAAAGATGTATAAAATGAATAAGATACATGGTCAATCTAATTTTAAAAATGAAGGAAAATGCTTAGAAATGATTTTAAAAACTGTTTTTGTTATTATCAATTACCTGACGTGAAAATTCTCTCTGGCTTTCATTAAGTGAATGAGTCATGCCTGCAAAAAAAAGTATTATAGTGGAAAAAAATTATATGTGTTTCTTTGCAGTTTCTATATTATCCTTTTAAATTAAGATATAAGGATTGGCTTATGTTAAAAGACAAATAGTATTATTAGTTAGGAATATCCTGTACGTTTAACATTTTTTAAAGTTTGTACCTTTAGAAGCAACATTAATAGCATAACAATCTTGAATTGAACTAATTAGAATCGAGTACAAAAACATTACAGGGTGTAAATTACTCCAGCATGCTGCCCATTCAATGTGCTTTCTTCCCATGCTATGTTGCATGCCACTAATTATGCTGCTGTTGGATAATATGGCTAATTCATTAGCCACAATTAATTAAGTTGTGGCTATATATTCTAGATATATCCTCTATATATTATTCACTTGTAACTACTTTTTACTTCTTTTGTTTTCACAGCACCCAGTTCCGTTTCACTTTAAAGCAACTAATGAGGTATCACAGTTCACCAGGCACAGAGAAATGAGCATTAGAACATGGAAATGTAATGTCCCCATGGCTCCATCTTTTTCTTTCATTTTCTCATACATTTAAATGCTTGAGATATGTTCAAGTTCAAGTTCAAGTTCAAGTTTATTGTCAGTATACTCATATACAGGTATATAGTATAACGAAAAGCTATTTAGCTAGCTCTCGGACATAAGTAGTACAAAGGAAAAAACAACAACAATACAATTGTATAACAAAAGAAAGACAGAGACAGCAGGCAATGTGCAAAAAACAACAACAGGTCATGAGCAAAAACAACAACAGGCAATGTGCAAAACAACAAAAAGGTAACAGGTTATGTGCAAAAACATGCATCAACAGAATGAAATAAAGGGATAGAAAATTATGGGGAGTGAGCTTTTGACATGTACAGAGAATGGTAGAGGTAGATTTACCTCTACCTCTACCTCTGTATGGTAGAGGTAGATTTTTCAATGTGTGTTTGGGTTTTTGGTAAGAAAGAAGGCACTTGAGGTTCAGATCATAGGTGAGAGGTGAGGTGAGAGTGAGAGAGGCTGGGAGTTTAATAGTTTGATAGTGCGGGGGTAAAAACTGTTCCTGAGTCTGAGATGGTAGCGAATCATACAGTCTGTAGCTGAGGTGTGTGGGTTCTTTGATGATACTTAGAGCTTTCCTCAAGCACTGTCTATCATAAATGTCCTGTATAGATGAGAGGGCAACCCCAGTGATGGACTGTGCAGTTTTCATCACCCGCTGTAGGGCTTTGCGGTCAGCAGTACTGCAGTTGCCACACCACACTGTGATGCAGCCTGTCAGTGTGCTTTCTTTAGTGCATCTGTAAAAGTTAGTGAGGATCTGGGGACATTTCTTCTTCTGGAGACTGAATCTGTCCCTTCCATTCTGTCTCTCTTAAAGAAGACACCTCCCACTAGAATAATTAATAATTAATTTTCATATGTACTTTTTGTAATACAGTATAGCACCAAGGGCTTGGTCATTCAGCTTTTGTCTGTTATTAATCTTCTTCTCCTACTCCTTATTTGCTCTGA